ACTGGATGACGAGATATTCCGCTTAAACTCTTTTTTTTGGAGTATCGGAGTTTCAGCGTTTTGACAAGCAACTCTACAAGTGGGAAGAGTGATTGTCATTATTTATTGGTTTGGAAATGGCCGGTCTTTATATTATTTTATGAAGACCTTTATCAGATTAATAGGTTTATTCAATATAAAAATCATTTATTATATAAAGACCGGTACGAGGACTGGTCGGTCCTCAGGACCGGTCCTACTGCGCCACAAAAAAATGCAAGACCGCGGTCTGGTCCTACAAGTCCTGGGACTGACCGGTCCAGGACCGAGTAGGACCAGTAGGACCGATGACCATCCTTAACAAACACCCGTGTAAACTTAGAAATTTTCTAATTTTATAATGTATTTTTCATAAATTAAACTGACAAAAAAAATAATTAGTATAATTTGCCTGAGTATTTATGATTTTACCCGATGTTTCAAAGTAGAAGTAATATAATATACAGTGGCTTACAAAAATAACTGACCAAACATTTTTTTAACTATTAATTTTATATATTGGACTTAAAATATATTTAATTAACATAAAATTTAAATATAAATTATTTATTACTATATAACCTATTAAAATAATAAATTTTATACAAATTGGTTGATTAATTTTCCAAATATAATACATTTTATTAAAAAAGAATGGTTATTTACTTTTGTCACTTTTTAGTATTTATAATAAATTAAAAATTTTGTAAAATTTAGTAATATGTTTATTATAAATTAAATAATAAAAAATATATTAAATTGTTTAAATTATTAATTAATTTAAAAAAAACCAATAATTTTAATAGTTTATTAATTTTAAATTTATTTAAATAACAAATTTTATATTGTTATGTATATATTTATAAATTAGTATTAATATTATTAATAGAAAATATATTTTAAAAAGATTTTTATAATAAAATTATTAAATTCTTTTTAACTGTTAATAAGAGGATCATTTTTAAAAAAATTTCGTCATGATTGGTTAGGTAGATCTGAAATAATTAATTGTGTAACGATCATCATTCTTCATATATCAAATAATGTTTTATTAGCTATCTCTGCATCCAGTGCTCACAAAAAGATGAAATACAGCTCATTGGAATCGTCTCACTGAGACGAATCCAATGGTGGTAAATTCATATTTTTAGGTACGATAGATGTAGAGTTATGAGCAAAAATGTAAAAAATCGTCATTCTTATTTTGGTAGTTATTGTATTACTCGAACATTTTTTCTTTTAACTCCTTATCTATTGTTTTTAGTATTATGAAATTTTTTCCATTTTATTCGTCTCATTGAGACGATTTTTATGGTTTTTATTTCATTTTTCTATTTTCTTTAGATTTGGAGTTATATGTTAAAATGTTCGTGTAATACATTAACTACCAAAATAAGAATGACGATTTTTTACATTTTTGCTCATAACTCTACATCTATCGTACCTAAAAATATGAATTTACCACCATTGGATTCGTCTCAGTGAGACGATTCCAATGAGCTGTATTTCATCTTTTTGTGAGCACTGGATGCAGAGATAGCTAATAAAACATTATTTAATATATGAGAATGATGATCATTACACAATTAATTATTTCAGATCTACCTAACCAATCATGACGAAATTTTTTTAAAAAATGATCCTCATTAACAGTTAAAAAAATTTAATAATTTTATTATAAAAACCTTTTTAAAATATATTTTCTATTAATAATATTAATACTAATTTATAAATATATACATAACACTATAAAATTTGTTATTTAAATAAATTTAAAATTAATAAACTATTAAAATTATTGGTTTTTTTAAATTAATTAATAATTTAAACTATTTAATATATTTTTTATTATTTAATTTATAATAAACATATTACTAATTTTTACAAAATTTTTAATTTATTATAAATACAAAAAGTGACAAAAGTAAATGACCATCCTTTTTTAATAAAATGTATTATATTTGGAAAATTAATCAACTAATTTGTATAAAATTTATTATTTTAATAGGTTATATAGTAATAAATAATTTATATTTTAAATTTTATGTTAATTAAATATATTTTAAGTCCAATATATAAAATTAATAGTTAAAAAAATGTTTGGTCAGTTACTTATGTAAGCCACTGTATGACAAATGATCGGCAAGGTGATAAAAGCATGTCTGCTATGCTATGCCCAATATGTATAATATAGTAAATTTTATGCAAAAATTTGGATGTACTGTATATTACCAAAATAAAAGAAAATACATTTTGTTATATATCTTACCACCCAGTGATCGTAAAAAGATGAAATACAGCTTGTTGGATTTGTCTTGATAAGACAAATCAAATGGTAGTAGTTTTGTGTTTCTATGTTAAGCTATAGTATACATTGACACTTTGTATTTTCGTTCACTGTACATTTTTACATTTTATCATATAACTTGGCATCTATCACACCTAGAAATATGAAACTACCACCATTCGACTCGTCTTATTGAGACGAATCTAATAAGCTGTATTTTGTCTCTATAATTACTGAATGCCGAGATATGTAATAAACTAATTTTGTAAATGAATTTTAAAAAAAATTCTTAATTTCTATTAAAAAAATGTCTTTAAACGAACCCCTAAAAACTTTTTAAACAAAAAACAATTTCTATTAAAAAATATTTCAAGTGTTTTTTAAAACAAATAAAAAAACTCTTTATTAAAAAATATCTTAAAATATCTTAAACAAAAAATAAAAAAAAACTTTAAAAAATTTTAAACATTTTAAACGTATATAAAAATAATTCTAATATCTGTTATACAAAATGAAAACCTTACTTATAGTAAAAATCATTATTGTTATACAAATAAAAATCTGACTTTTTGTGTAACTGCTATTTGGTTATACAATTTCAAACATAAGAAATTACATAGTAAATTTATACAAAATTGGATTCCAGTATTATATATATTCTTCGGGGTCCTATTACAGATATTGAATTTTTATTATAGTACATATCCATGGATAGACGGATATGTGGATCCAAACTCTACTTCAAAGTCTATAACAAAAATTGTATTCTGGAATTGAATAATCAACTTTAGCTATTGATATTATTTGGATTTTGGATGTATAATATGAAAATCAATTTCTAATTTCAATAATAGGGTTTGATTATCTATATATTTAAGATACGGAGATACCATTTATAGGTTAGATCCATTAAGAAATTTATTTAATGGCCAGTGATCTCCACAATGTTTACAATGTTTTAAACAGTACTACAGTAGTACAGTAGAACCCCCTGGATTGTTACCTTTTTATGTATTTCTAGTCCTAGTACAGTAAAGGTATTAGTATTATAGTTTCTATTTTTAGATTGTTTTACCAAAAAATTATATTGTTATTTATTTATTTATATATTGTATTATATATTGTTATTAAATAAAGTTACATTGTTATAACGATATATTTAAATAATATTGTTTACTGGATTGTATATAAAAGCACACTTGAAATGCACCCTATAATTTTTAGCTGGCTCTTAAAGTTCGATAAAATTGTAAGATGAATTGGTCAGGAACTAATTCTTTTTTATACTTTGTAGCAATTTTTATTTTATTTATAAATCCATTTGGTATACATTCTTATAAAATCTTATCTCATAACGAGAGCGAACCTGGATATCAAGTACATCAAATATTAACCAATCACGATGGTACATCAGTCATCTATTTAACCAAACCTATAAACGAAACCTGCAACGAACCAAGTATCGATTTTCGCATTATAAGACCTGATGGCGCAGTTGATATTACTAAAGTTCACCATCCGATCCCAGATTTTAATTTTTGTCTTAAGCCAAATAATTTGTCTTTGCATATTAAACTTTTTGGTAATATGCAAGATAATGTGATTATCCTTTATGAAAATTCTACCAATATAAATTCGGCAAGTTTTTATGCATTGCTTGTTAATGCTCGCACAGGAAACGTTATTAGGTTTTATATATATTTTTTTCCCTTAATTGTTAATATTTTATTTGTACCATAATTAACACTACGTATAATCCATTAATTTAAAGCAATACTTTTCTCTCACTCGTTTCCACAATCAATGGGACTTTATCCTTCTCCGGAGACATTCTACCACACATTAACGAAGAGTATGGCTTTCTTTTCTGGAGTTTCATAACTGAAACTAAAATACGTTGGATTTACTTTAGTAAACCGTAAGTCCGTGCATTAAATTTTTTGTTTCTATAAATCAATTAATATTAATGATATTTTAATCGTCTTTAGTGATTCAGATGGTAATTTTAAGCCAATAAATAGTAATCAGTTTGAATTATTAAATCCGTTAGACAGATTTAATATATTTGCCGCCATTGATGGAACCTTTGGATTGGTTACTAGTAATTATAATACAAACGCTTCAATCCAACTTCAACCAAATGTTGATTTAATTAACCCAACCGAACCTATGTTTGGACTTTATATAACATTCATTAAGCCGAGTGAAGATGCTGTTGATGGACCTTTCTTGCTTTATCAAACCGCAATTCCGACGTTACGGATAGTATTTCAATGTAATTCCATTTATACGACTATGGGTTATTTTTGCATATTAAATATGAATGAAGTGCAACCTAAAGAAGAATCTAAAAATTATTTAATTAAAATAACATTTCAAAATACTGGGTTCGTAATTTCTATATAAAATTATATAAAATTTAATAATTGTCATTATTGATTCGTATTTTTCCTTATTAATATAGCTCAGTTATTGATGTTGAAAAATTTTCGAATCTCGAACTATATACTGAATTATATAACAATTTATCGGAAACTACGATATTTGAAAGTTTATATCATGGGGGCTTTTTAGTACTTTATTCCAAAAACTCAGAAAATAACCATAAAACGGTTCAAGCTATCATTCTTGATAATAATGGATTCTATAACAACACTTTGGACTTTCCAAAAAATTTGGAAGCCTCTAATTATCTCGCAATGCCGGGTTTTCGAGATAGCAATTTTATTATCGCTCAACAAGAAAACGAATATACTTGGAAGGTTTACTCGGAAGAATATCCAAAATTCGTTTATTATGGTAATATTATGCCGAATAGTTTTTAAAATTATTTTTATTCGTTATATTTTAAACTTACTTACATTCTCTTTGTATCTTTAGATAATGATTATGATAGTCCATATATTCAATCTACCTTTCCGTTAATTAATTCTATTATATCACTTTCAACAACTAATATTAATATCTCTTATAAATTACCAATTACGTTATCCACAAATAATATTTCTATTTATCAACATAATAATGAAAATCCTATATTAAGACAATCAGTTCCAGGTAGTTCACTATCTCTTTCCCATAGTGCTGATAATCAAACTTTAATTTTAAATGTTTTGGAAAGTACATTTAATCAACCAAATGCAAAGTATTATATTGTTATTGATGATAATTTTGTTCAAGATTGGGAAACAAATCAACCTTTATTAGGTTTAGAAAGTAATATTTGGACATTTAATACTAGTAAGTAAATAATATCTGTGGTAAATAAAAAAACTAAAATTTTTTTAACATTTTTACACAAACTTCTTTTCTTTATAGCTGATGACCGAGATATCTTCGCAGGTAATTAAATATTAATCGATTAATATTTTTTAAACAAATTATTAGTTGATAATATAATATTGATAATTAATTTAAATATAGAGGATGCGATTGGTCGATTTTCTTTAACTACAGAAGGAACAGAATATTATGAAGGCCTTTCGACTTACGATCAAAAAAGATTTTTATCACAATTAAGGGTTGATTTAGCAAAATCAATACCCATTGATATTAATAGATTGGACAATATTAAATTTTATAAGTTTGATCAAAGTCAACGACCTCCAAAAATTCTTTTATCATTACTTATTAAATCGACAAGAAATTCAAATGAACGGAACGTTGATCGAATCATAAAAGATTTGAATATCTTGATCAAGGAAAAAGACATTACTCCAATTTCATGGTTTAATACAACAATGTTTTTAGATGCCAATTTTGGATTCCAGAAAAATAGTAAGTTTTACCGCTAATCCTCGTGCGTAGAAAAATATACATATGTATATATAATATTTACATATTTATTAATTGTATAGGGAATCTCTTTGATGAATATAAATTTTATTTAGTTGGTATTGCTATAGGAATAATAATATTAGGATTATCATATTTTTATGCTAAGAGAAGACATCCTAAAGTAAAGTATTCAAAGCTTATCTTATAACGTTTTCGATGATTTGTGATTTCCATTCATTAATTTATTTGATTTGTAGGGTAAAAATATTATGGTTTTTAAAATTTCTTTAATTATTATGGATTTTATATTGGATATATTGTTTGTTCTAAATAATGGGAGAAATGTACCACAGTTATTTATTCCCAGGTATAATCAATTAATCAATTATTATTAATTGTAACATATCTATTTATTAAGACTAAATTTTTTTTTTTGTATTTCAGTATTATTTTTTGTTCAATACCAATAGCGGCTAATTCCATAATGAGCATGATTATAATACTTAAAGAGATCACACGAAATGAATCTTTCTACAATTGGTTTAAATTAAATACGAATATAGCAGCACTATTTACTATATTAGCGAGTGCTGATCTTGAAGTATTAGACACGCTTTCCTCACAAGTCGGTGGTATTAAGTTATTTAATGCTCCTATGTCAGAAAAGACTCAATTGTATATTTTTTGGGGGAGTCTTGTTGGGCTTTTTATAGAAGATATTCCTCAATTTATTATTCAGGTATGTAATTAATATTTTTTTGCTTTAAAAGACTAATAAAAAGCTTTACTGACCTTTTTAACACTTTTAGATTTTCTACGTGAAATTTACAGTTACATATGATTTCATCCCTTTTCTTACACTTCTAACAAGTTCAATTGTTTTGACAATTAATATAATATCTAGGTTATATCATATAATAATAGTACATTTACATACAAAAAAAAGAATATCCGTTATGATATTGCCAATTGATCAAAAAATGACATTTGATTCAGATATTGAGAACGGTTTAACCGTTCCGCAAGCAGCCAAAGTGTATTATAGACATTCTATGTAAATAATGTGAAAAGTAAAATTGGTTTGTTTTTTTCTTACTAAACCTTTTGATTAATAATAATAAATGTAATTGTAATATAATATTATCTTCTTAAAAGAAAATAAATTTCTACATCATGACAAGTTATATAAAGAATCTGAGAGTAAATAGTAATAATTTAAAATAATTTTAATTAGATCAATAATATATCCAACATCGAAGTAGTTCATAATCTAAATAATCTAAATATAATTTCATCTAGGGAATTTGATTCCCAAATCTCTTGATAGATTGATTGATTGGTTTCAGTGGTCCATGATCGATCAAAAATTGATTAGTCGTATTTAATCGATTAATTGATCAAAATACGTATTAATGTTATGACCTCTTAGCGGCTCTTACCTAGTTGTTTCCTGCGTAAGCTTGTCCAAATACGAAATTATCATGACGGAAGAGAGTCCCATATGGAGATTGGTATACATTTACCATTTACCATCTGTACTTCTAGATGGTGCTGATAAATATTATATAAGTAAAGAAGTCAAATCAAAAAAACCTTTGAAGGGCTTTTTAATGCTAAAGTATTGATATTAATAAATGTAGTTAAGAGTCGGATCTTTTGTCTTTTGTGTCTTCTTCAGGTTGTAAGCGCAAAAAAAGGAAGGAATTTCGAGTTTTGGAGTATATATCATCAACTGTTCTCAATAATTATATTTTAGACTTATAATATTTGGATGTTACCCACAAACGAATTGCAAGATTAAGGCCTTGCATGAAATTCATCATTTCATATTGATGCTTTTGTAATCTGTTGGGCGTGATCTATTATATCATCCGAAAATATAATCTGTTTTTATATTACTATTTAATATATCCCGATCATTTGTAGTAACTTTCTTTAACTGTTAAGAACTTATTCTCATTTCTTTGATCCATATTTCGTTACCATTCCTCTTTGGTACGGGCTATCGGCTACTGCTCATTTGATAGATGAACAAAATCATGTCTTACTTTCTTATATCAGTTCCCGATATCTTCAGTTAGAAGAAATTAATTTCCTAGATTCTTTGTTCGTATCATTTTCCTTTGATTTACGATTATTGGAAATTTGTTTTTTTTTGTTATTTTTTTTTATACGTATATACAGCATAGCGAACATCCCTTATATTGTCACATTATTGCCGATCATTTGCCGATCATTTATTAATCATCTTTTCAATATTGTCACATAAAAAAATACTATCTTGTTAATATATAAAGCTGAAATGATGTTTGATTTGACAATTTTGAGGGTAAAATTGATCAATATTAACAGAAATTATATCAATAAATGTAAATTTTTATAATTAATAAATAAAATGAAAATTCAAATTTTATAATCTTGAGATCCAGTGAACATATTCTAATGAATTATATACTATTAGATTGGTCTCAGTGAGAGGATTCGAATGGTAGTAAAATCATTGCCATCAGATCCATATTGGCGAAGTTATTGCATTTTAAAATTTTGTACTAAATTAAATAGTAATATTATTAGTATTAATAATTGCTAATATTAATTTGGCCATAACTTTTGTGTTACCTAAAATTATGTTGTGTTACTTCGGCCATTAATTTTAAAGACATTAATCTATAACTCATAAAAATTTCAAGTTTCACCCGAACTTCTGTGGCTTCGCCCAAAGCTTCAAAGTCTGATTAGGAGATGATCAGCATATATTAATTAATTGAAAAATTTGGCCTAAAACTAACTTTGGCATTACATTTTATTTTGGCACAAAATTTTTATATTAAACTGTTAATACTTTAAACTATTAAATAAAATAATTTAATGTGATTTTTTTACATATTTATGGTTTGAAATAATGCTTCAAAGTTAATGTGATGTCACATATATTATGATCGGCAAATGATCAGCATGTGATAATAAGCATGTTCGCTATGCTCGTATATACTAGGTAGATTTTCATATATTACCAGAAAATTACTTATTGCTGTTTTTGATCTTTGATCAATTATTAAAAATAAAAATACCAAGTAATAATATATATAATTTGTCTCATACAATAATTACAAAATAAATTTATTAGGAAGAATAATAAATTCTACAAAATTTTTTCATTAGAATATAAAAATATTCTTTCAAAATAATGAATTTTCTCACCTAATAAATCTTTAAGATTCTTTTATATAACTATTCATCTTCAATTATTAGATTATATTTCAACTTTTATTGCTGCATAGATTGTTTGCGAATTGTATAAAAAAGGAAAAAAATTAAAATGAAATAGCTAACGAATCACCAGCTTAATTGCGCCATCTTCCTACCTTCTTGACTTACGAAAGAAGCAATCCTTTATAAGATCATCATCAATGACTACATTGTCATAAAAGGCTTGCTAAAGTTAGTTGTATACAACAGGGCAAACATCCCAATATTATCACATAAAAAAATACTGTTGAATTAGTTTTTTCACAAATTCTACATAATAATGTATAAAATTTCAATTTTATTTACTTTATTTATTTATTGTTAATAAATTAGTTCTTAAAATAATTCATAAAGATTTTGTTAAATATTAAACATATATTAATTTTACAATAATTGTAAACATTTATTTAATGATAACTTTTGGGTTATCAAAAATTGTCCAGGTTTATTTTAGCCATTGATTCTTGAATATCTAAATAATATACTGTAAAAGTTTCAAGTTTCACCCAAAGATCTGTGGCTTCGCCCGAAGCTTTAAAGTCAAATTAGCAGATAATCGGCATATATATAGCATATATATTAATTATTGAAAATTTGATGTAAAATCTAACTTTGGAAACACACCTTATTTTTCCACAATACTTTTATATTAAATTATTGATAAATGTAACTATTAAATAAAATAATTTAACATAAATTGTCAGAACATTTATTGCTTAGAATAAAGCTTTAAATTTAACGTAATATCACTTATATCATGATCGGTAAGTGATCAACATTGTGATATAATGCATGTCCGTCCTGTTATTGTATACTACTGACAATTCCAGTAAGTTGTCTTTGAATTCATCGAATTGTTCTTTAATTGTCGTGTATTGATCCATAATACTTCTTGCGTTCATTTTATGACATCCCATTACATCAGTGTTTGGAAATAACCTGTTCATTTATCATTCTTCCAAATTCATTTTGTCACATCAATCATTTGATTTTGATTGTCTAATGATATCATCATATCAACCATAAACGTAATATGTAGGTGTAATCCATTCTCAAGAATTCATTATCAACTATATATTCGTAAGGCATTGCAAACAGCAGCTTTTAAAGAATGCCATAGATGCCAAGTTTACCTTTTTGTTTAAAGTTTCTGTTTCATTATAATTATCGCATCAGAAAATTTCAGAGTTTAGATTTAAAGCCTAAGATCTACTAGCAAATGAAATCAGACTTCTTCCTAACAAGTTCCAATAAACTCCAAAGCTGATCCTCATTTATATTATGAATATCAAGTTATTAGGTCATTTTTGTATGACTATAATGCACTGAAGTTTTGTAAAGTAACATGACGTTTGATGATCCTGATGAATCAATTTATCCATTTTTTTTCAGCGTAATCCCGTTTGGTAAACTGTGCAGTAAATGTTTGTTCTTGACTCACCACGCGATGCTAACTACTAATTTTGCAACTGTGCAATAATAATAAATTGGAAGAAATTTTACACATTTGTTTAAATTATTAAATCAGATTGTTTTGATTATTGGCATCTTTGATTATAAATGCAAATTTAATAGGAAAAAACTTGAAATAATGATAATGCTTAAACGTTATAAACAAATTGAAATATATTTATAAATCAAATGCAATTAATCACATGCTTCCAAATACTTTATAATAAAAAACTCTATTTCTTAATGAATTTATTTGATATTTCACAAGATAAAAGTATATTATTTATATTAGAAATGAATAAAGATCAAAAAAGATGAAATGATTGGAAAACAGGTATAGTTTTCTCAAAGAAAAAATTATATGTTACAAATGGATTCTATATTAGGGTAAACTAAAAGAATTTGTTTGGCTAAAGGTTAAATATTATTTTTATATAATTATTTAAATAAATACATATGTATAAATGTAATTATACTTGCTATTCATATTAATGGAATTGAAAAAATCTTACATCCCATTCTATTACATATTCCATCCCATTTTCTATAATCCCATTCCAATCTCATTTCCTATATCCATATCCTATCTTTCATCTTTCATATCCCATCCTATATCCCATTTATTAATTTGATTTTTTTATTGTTGAAAAATTATTTTTATATATTTTATTACAATAATTTTTTGTTATACTAAATTTTATTTCAATAATTTTATAAAATAATAAATAAATAAAAACATAAAAAACTTATTAATTAACATTAAAATTTAAATTTCTATAATCCATTATTCTTATTTTATTTTGTTCACCATATTTATTATATAGAAGACTTATTGATAAATCAATAATATTTTCAACTTCTAATTCATTATTATTCACTTTTTCTAATTCTATAGTTTATTCTATCTTATTAATATCTTCAAAATTGACTTCAATATTATTATTGTTAAATAAATCAATTTTATTATTGATTGATAATGCAACTTAATTTAATATTTCATCAAGTTTTTCTAAAGTTATTTTATTACTTATAAATTTCAGTTATAATTTTACATTTACTACAAGATATAACTATATTTATACTATTATTTGAAGTTATTAATATTAATTCTGTTATAAAAAAATAAAATATTAAATAAAAAATAATTAAAATTAATATTTGCATATTTTTAAATTTATTAGATCTAATCAGTTTTAAAAGTGCAGTTATTAAACCAGTCTAATTATGATGAAGTTATAAATTTGATTTCACCAATTATGAAAATTAAAAGATTAAAATAGTTAAATTGTTATTATGGTAAATTAATATGTATAGCAGTATAGTCACATATTTCAATAAAAAGTTTTAATGTTCTTTTAATATTTCTTACAAAGCCTTTAAAAGATTTATTATTCTGTTTAAATGACTATTACTTGCATATTATTTAAGGAAATCTAAAATTACTTGTTTAAATCTCACCAAAATTCTATAATTAGTTTTTCTAAAATTTTACTATAATTTTATTATAGTTTTGGCAAGATTTTAGCAGTTTTAGCATTCATAATAAATTTTATCAGGTTTTACTTTTCTCCAAAAATTTAACAATTTTTTAATATAATTTTAATAAAGTTTCACTATTTTAGCATTTTATCAATTTGCTGAAATCTTTTAGTTTCTTCAGTAATAATCTTAATAAGATTATTATTTCATAATACTAGTATTATAATATAAAAAGAGATTAAATTATTTATTAATAAATAATAGATGTTAGTAATAATATGGTCATATGGAATTTCTAAATAGAGTGATGAATAGTTATTTAATCTTTAGTTTAATTAAAAGCGCTTGTATTTATATACATTTTAAATAAAAAAAATAAAAATAAATTTACTTTTTAAACTTAAAAAAAAAAAGGTATTTATATCATTTTTGATTATTCAATAGTATTATATACCTTTTTTATATATTTTACTGTATACTGCAGTTTTTATAAGTTTGTTTAATCAAATAATAATATTATGTAAGTTTACAGTCTTATAAATTTTCAAAATATTTTAACTATAATATTATAGATTTACAGTCTTGTAAAATTTTAAAATATTTCAACTATAATATTACACAAATTTACAGATTATAAATTTTTGAAATTTTAATCATAATATTATGCAGGTTTATAGTAGGACCCGAATATTACTAAAAAAACTCAGATCTGAATTTGTATAAACCTTATAATTAATTTCTGTTCCAAATGTATAAAGTTATATGTAGATTTTAGACTCAAATTTTGCTATCTCGGGATCCAGTGATAGGATTTTAATGATCTTTAGCTTGTTAGATTCGTCTCAACGAGACGAACATTTTGATATATAATTCATCTTTTTAGGTGTAATATTGACCGAGATATTGCATTTTGAAATTTTAGTTATACGGGATCTGAGTTGTTTTAGTAATATTCGGGGTCCTTTTATCGTCTTGTAATTTTTGAAATATTTTAACTATAATATTACGCAGGTTTATAAAACTGTAAATTTTTGAAATATTTTAACTGTAATATTATGCAGGTTTATATGACCGTCAATTTGTAAAATATTTTTACATAAATTTTATGTTATTGAAAACTTGTGTAATATTTTAATCATAATATTATATAAATTTTATGAAATTGTAAACTTATATAATATTTTAAAATTTTTTGAAATATTATATCATAAACTCTCATAAATTTACAAAATTATAAAACTTTGCTGATCTTTCTAATCTGATTTTTTCCAATAATACATAATTACACATGATGCGTAATAGCATATATATTAGTTATTTGATAGAGAAGCAGTTTAAATGATATTTTAATACCCTATCAAATAACTGTATTATTCTGCAACCTGCAATGATCATTTTATAAATATAATAAACTATTGATTAAACAATAAATTTAGTAATTAAGCATTTATAAATTCTTATATATATTTTAAAATGTCCTATGTGTTTAAAAGACAAAGAAACATATACACATTTATGGAAATGTGAACATTTAGGACAAGTAACTGAAACCGGAATATGATAGGTAAATTTCAGCAACACTTACATGAACTGATATTAGCTAATAGTCAAGTGGAAAATGTAAATTCTGATGATATTTTTAAAGAAATCTTGCGTTGTAGGATTTGGGACTTTAATAAAGCATATAATTTGTCTATGCTAGCAAAAGGTTTTATACATATAGATCTGATTAACTTATTTAAGAGTTATAAAATATTAGATAAAGATAAGACAAAGTTATTAGATGGTTTGGTTAATAAATTAATTTTTGACTTTAAAATTTTTATATGGGAGTATAGAAATGTTAAATTAGCTGATTTAGAACATCAGAAAGGGATCAATGCTAAGATAAAAAAATCAGCCAACAAGTCTAAATTAGTGGCTAACAAATTAGATAAAATAGTAAGTTCACGTTGGGAGCTATGGAATAGCTTAGTTTTTGAGAAAGGAGGTCATTGGTCAAATTTTTAGGTCTTTCATGACATGTCACCTTTGACCTCAAGGTGACAGGTCGGTCTTTTCCTTTTGGAGGGGCAGTGTATTGATAATGTTTAAATTTATTTAGAATACTTTATTTTATTTTACTTTTGTAAATATAATGTATTACTTCAACATTATTATCAATAAACATGATCGCGCTATAATAACTGAAAAATACAACAAAATAGAATAAGGATAAATAATTAACCGATAGATAAATAATTAGCCAATAAAATTATATNATAAATTGTATATATAATAATAAAATATTTACATTCTAAATTTGTTTTAATTGGTATTTAAATTACAAGAATATATAACAGAACTTTCTGTATTTTATATAATTAATAAACTCACAAATTGTACTACCTTGTAAAAAAAAAAAAAAAATAAAATTACAAGAATATATGCAATTATTTACTTTAAAAGGGTTTGATTAGTTTCTTTTAAAGGCTACTATATATTATAATACAACTAAAAAATTTGTAAAAAAAATTTTTTTTAAAAAAAATATGCAGTATATATTTATTTTTTGAAAACCCATCAAAAAGTTTGATTTTTTAATTTTTTAAAATTTATTTACACCTATATTATTTACCATTGTGATAATTATTTAACAGTTTTTCTTATTTTTCGTGGAACTGTAATACTGGAATTTTCATTTGCTAGATTACATGATATTTTTTTATTTTGTAATATCATAATAGATTTCCTTTTTTTTGAATATAAATGTATTATTGCATGATATATTTTTGAAATTATATTATTTGCTAAAATAATTGAACTTGTTGAAAGAGTGAGAAAAGGAATTATATCATAATTAACAACTAACTTTATGTAGAAAACCTAAATGTATTTAAAATTCAATGATATTTTAGTTTAATATAATAGTGTATAATAATGTTAAAATTTTACACAAACCTGAATAATAAATCGGGGGACATCATTAATAAAAAATCCAATAAAACTTCCCCAAAAAATATAAAATTGAATTACTTCTGATAGAGGAGCATTGAATAACATTATACCAGCAACTTGAGAAGAAAGTATATTTAACATTTCAAGGTTAGCACCAGATAATATAGTAAATAATGATGCTATATCAACATTGTTTTTAAACCATTCATAGAAATATCTGTTTTTTTTAATTTCTTGAAGCATTATAATTACACCCATAACAAAATTAATTATTGTTGGTATCACGCAAAAAATTATGCTATAATAAAAATTTTTGCAAAAAATTAAAAAAAATCTAATTTTTAAAATATAAAAAAATTTTTGAAAATAAAGATGAAAAAGATGGATCATACCTTGGAATAAATAATTGTGGAACATTTTTTCCATTATTCAAAATAAACATAATACTCATGATAAAATTTAAAATAATTAAAGGAAATTTAAATATTACGATATTTTCACCCTATAAATAAGTAATATATTATTAGTTACGAATAATAATAATAAAAAGTATATGATGTACTTTACCAAAGGATATTTCTTCTTGGCATAAAAATAAAGGAATCCTAAAATTACTATTCCAATGACAATACCAATTAAATGGAATTTAAAATCATCCAATAAATTTTCTAAATAATAAAGAAAGAATTAAAATTTAAATAATAAAAAATTTTTTATAATAATAATTATATTTACTATATCTCCGAAATCCAAAGCTAGCTTCTAGATTATTTGTTGTACCAAACCATGAAATTGGAGTTACTTCTTTGTGTTTAATCAAAATATCTAAGTCTTTTATAATATGATCAACATTTCTTTCATGTGGACTTGTTGTCGATTTAATAGGTAATGATAAAAGAATTCTTGGAGGTTTTTGGCTATAATCATATTCACAACATTTTATATAATCTAATCTATTAATGTCGACAGGTATTGATTTTGCTAAATCAATTCTTAATTGTGATAAAAATCCTCTCCGTCCATCCAATGAAAGTTTCTCAAAAGATTTTGTTCCTTCTTCCGTTAAAGAAAATCTTCCAATAGATTCCTCTAAATAAGATGAAACATTAAAATTGAATATTAATCAATTTGATTAATTATAATTTTTTTTTAAAAAAAATTTTTTTTACCTGCAAAATTATCTTGGATATTTACTAAAAGGAATTGTAATTGGTATTAATAAAGAACCAGTATAATTTAGGATATTAAAAATGCTTACTTGTATTAAATTTCCAACGATTTCTTACAACACCTAATAGTGGATTATTTGACTTCCAATCCCTGACCATATTACCATCAATAACAATATAATAATTTGAGTTTGGTTGATTAAATGTACTTTCCAAAACTTTCATATTTATTGTCTTTTTATCAGAACTATACGAGAAATATGGTGAATTTCCCGGAACAAATTGACGCAGTATAGGAATATCGTCATTATTAATATATTGATAAATTGAAACGTTGTTGGTTGATATCGTTACAGACAAATGATATGTAATATTTATGTTTGTGATTGATAAGGGTATACTTGAGTCAATTGATGGATAAGTTGATTTAATATGCGGATTCTCATATCCTTGATCTAAAGAAATAAAGAAAGATTAATTTTAACTAAAAAAAATAATTATTTGCATATAACAACTTATATTATGCTTACCATTAGAGAAAAATTTAGGTAAAGTTGTAAAAGAAATTTTCAAAGTCATTTCATTCTCGAAAGTAACTAAGCGCAGTGACCCATTTAGGGAGGCTGTCACTCCAAAAGAACCAGATGATTTCAAACCTGGTGGAAATCCCCAAGTGCCATTATATTTTCCATCATTATCAAGTATTATTCCTTCAATAGTCTTACGTTGATTATCACGTAAAGTTATTAAATATCCTCCTTGAAATAAACCATTAAAAGTTACTATTTCTGCATTAACAAATTTATCACCAAGTTTTCTCATATCAAATACAGAACTAAGAATAAAAAAACCAATCATTAGATATATAATTAAGGTTATAAGAAATATTATAAACAATATAACGAACCCCGAAGTTTGAAATGACAACTTTATAACTTCTGACGTATTTTTATCTTCTGCTCTGTTAAACATCAAAAGGCAAGTATTGCCGATCCCTGAAAAAGCAGTATCACAAAAGAAATCCAGTTCAAAATGAGGTATCGCTGATTGGTAAATTAAGAAAGGGCCATCCACACTCTCCATAACAGGTTTAATAAAACTGACATAAACCTTAAATGTAAATTTAGACGGATTGATGAATTCATTAGATTTTATATTGATATCTGTTGAATTTGCATTTACAATACCAAAATTTCCATCAATTGAGGGAAATATGAAATAATAATTAGATGAACTTTGCAGATAATGTCTTCCTTCGTTTAATAGACTAAAATTTCCTTTATCGTCCCTAATAATCAAAAAGATTAATTAATTTTCATATTTACTTTATTACAATTAAAATTATTAAAATAAACATAGTGCATACGGTCTACTGAAATACTTCCACATTACAATATTCTCAGTTTCATAATTAGCAAACATAAAACCGCACTCTTCGCTTGTGTGAGTTGTGAGATAGCCGTCGGCGTATATACTTCCATTTATTATAGAGATAGGTGCCACGTATGTATTGCTTGCCAATATAAAAATTTTAATAAGCTAATATACATATATCAGTATATACTTAAAACATAATATACATGGATGCGTAACAAACCTAAGAACATATCCTGATCGAGTAATAGATAATACATAATAACTTGCTGAAGCGATATCTAAATAAAGTATATTTATAGATCTTGGAAGGGAACGGTTAATGTCAAACCAATAATATCTATGGGGTCCAAGACAAAAATTATATTCTGGGATCGGATAATCAACTTTAGCACTATCAATAGTACCATTTGGATGTAAAATGCGAAGATCAATTCGTGGTTCAATACAAGATTCATTTATTGGTTTAACTAAATGGACAACCGTTATCCCATCTCTATAACTAAGTACTTTATAGATTTTGAATCCAGGTTCAGTTTCATTATGTAATATCACATCATAAGAATATACAGTCAACGGATTTATGAATAATAAGATAAAGTAAAATAAATTTGTCAACAAATTCATTTTTTAGATTTTAAGAGTAAAAAGCTAAAATAATCAAATTTAAATATAATTTGTAGTAACACTAGTGTAAGATGTTAAACAATGTATGTAGTAAGATTGCCTTTGTTGTACATCAAAGAATGTTTCATGAATGAAACTTACCATTTCCAAACGATACCCTGAGCTGTGTTTCTTGTGTAACGCAAAAAAAAGTCAAAGGATAATGAATAAGCTTTCCAAATCGGTTTAACCATTTAATATTCGGATGTGAAACTTTCTTTGATCACAAGTCTTTCTTAATCACGAAGTAAAATATTTTTATTAATATGCAGCGATAACAAAGGATTATAAAGAATTTCATTATGTGAAATATCTCACCAATCACGTGATTGTGACGGCTAATGCCAAAAAAAAACAATATTTACTTCGCTGTTATGTTCGCTATTATTCTTAATATTTTTTTTCAAACTGTTTGAATGATAATAATAATACTTTCTATTGATGTTGTTTCACACCGAAAATACAAACTTGAAGATGTATCACAGTATCACTACAAAACAATTTAAAAAAATCACAAAAATTTAAGCGATTTTTATATTATTTATAAATAGTAAATAATAAGCTAAAAAAGTTTTTATATTACATATTAAAAACAACAAAGTTAAAAATTTTAAATTATACTATAATTTAAAAAATTAATTGTTTTTAAATGTGTAAAATTATAAATTATAAAGAATATGATTTGACGTAGTTTAATATTTATGTTTCAGTGGAACTCGATAAATGTTCATTTTATCATTTGTTTATTTTAAAAAAATGTATTTTATTTATTTATTTATTTATTTATGAATTGTTCTTCCACCTTTTTTTTAAAAAGAAAAGGAGAAGTTTTTATTAACAAAAAAGGGAGCGCAGATTAAGGTTAAGTCGGAAATAAGTAATTAATTCTAGTTTTGAATGTGCAGATGAATAAATTTTACTCATAATGTTTGATTTCTTCATCACAGAGATTATAGATTAAAGGAGGAAATAAGGATTTGATCAATTAAGCATATTAAATTAAAGAAGGAAGTTTAAAATCATACACTAACAAAGGACGAAGAATGAAGGTCAGTAAGACTCAATCAAATTGTAACTAAAGTTATCTCCAAAAAGAAATTGATATCTCTCCTATTTGCCCAATTTTTTAAGAATTTAAAGTAGCAGAATAAGAAGCAGGCCGACTAGCATAGCTACAGATCATGGATATTGGACGAACTGAATTTTTTTTCTTAACAAGATAGAAAATAATCATATTTGTATTTGATAAGGAAGGAGTCAATGGTATATTTGTTATGTTGAGTTTCTGGATCTTAAAATGAAGAATTGCAATCATTACAATCATTCGTAAACAATAACCATAAACTGTGATTGGTACTAAGTACTAATCGGATCCTAACGCTTCACATAATACAAAATATACAACTTCAATTCTAATAATTAAGGTAAAGTAAGTTTATATATATATAATCTTTTTGGTAAATTTGCATTTATTAATAATGCCTAATACTAACTGTAAAAGGTTTTTATAACTTCTTTAGTGGTTCATATATTCTTATTATTAGTTTGTACACTGTAAGATTTAAAAATATTTTAGTGTTTAAATATTGGAGGTAATTCATTTTTTTTAAAGGAATATTTTTACTTAGACGAAAAAATTTTATATAATTTATTATTTATATAATTAATTATTCTTCCTCAATAAATCTATTTTGTAATTATTGTGAGAAAAATTTATATTGTTACAATTTTAATGTTTTTATCTTTTTTTAATAATTTTAATAATTGATCGAAAAAAACCACTCATCCACATTAATTCGAAAATTTTATTTTTCGACAAGAATCATTAGGTTAATTCGTATTACTTAAAGCTTAATAATCGTTCAGATTCTTTTACCATTGGTATTGACATATGTAATGCTGGGAATGTCGCATATGCATTAGAATTATGAATTTCTCATCAGCAGCCAACCATATTTTAATAGTTTGTCTTGTGATCCCGTTGTAATTTTTTTCGTGTGTTTGATTTGTGTATTATATACTTATCATCACACTACAATAGAATGAATAGATCTATTAAGACATAAGAGACACGAAGTGTTAAAGTAAATTAAATTACTGAATTCAACAAAAGTTAATTAACCAGCAGATTTAATTTTACCTGTCTAAGATAAGGTTCTAATGTTTATAGTCCGATCTTCAAACTTTAAAATCTTATTCAATAATTCCAGTAGCTTAAGTATATTCAACGCAAATTTCACATCCTTTAAATTCCTTATTGCCTTCGTTTCATATGCTTCAACATTAATTTTTCCATAATCTTGAAGTATTATGATCAGATCATACAATAATATCTATAATTACTATTATTCCATACATTCTTTTTTAAATCAGAAGATATATTATAAAATAGTATATAGTTATTGCTATCAAATAATTTCTCTCGCAAAGAAACTAAAAGCTTAGTAAGTTTAATGAGAAAATTTAATAATTTTGAAAATAAAGAAAATTTCACAATTCACATACATTATGTCAGAAATGCCATATTTGCCATCTCGAAGATTCCTGATTTGATTTAATAGTTTAGGTTTAAACTATCATCCAGTTATCCTATTGTCTCAACCATCTAAAAAAAATAACAGATTAAACGATGTCATGTGAGGCGTATATAAAATTAAAAGAATGTCCTTAAAAATAGACCGGGGGTTCAGGTTCTTATCCTAGACCGCAACTGTATTAATCACGTGACGATTACTCCGGTTCTGTCCAAATTTAAAAAGGGTTTACTAAAAATAAAGATAACTGGGCCACCCTAGATCTCAGTTTTTTTTTTTTTTTTGAATTGTTTTTCGATTCTAGCATGTAGTTTCCATGTAATTTGTACTGTAGCTTAATTCACTTTTAGGATTAAAAATAAAATAAAATAAAATAAAGATAACTGTTAAAATTTTGAAAGAAACATAGAGCTTTTCTTACTATAATATTTATTAATTTGTAATAATCCGATCAATTACAAATTTACTTTATAAATTAACTTTATATGAAAAAATTATATATTTTTTTTTTCTTTTTCTTTTCTTTTTTTTTTCTTTTTTTTATGATACTATATTGTGCCTACAATTGAATTGTCGTAACATTTTTGGATAAGGTACAGGAACTACTTTATCCATATGGCTTTCAGTTACAAAGGAAAGAATATGAACAGAAAAAAATTACAAAATATCAAAATATAGACATGAATACAAATGAATACAAATGAAAAAATGAATATGATAATATGAAATGAAAATTACAAACAATGAATGAAAAGTGCAAAAAAATTACAAATGACACCAATCTATATAGGTTGATATTAAGATGCAAAGTATGTATATGCTATATATGCAAAAAATGAATGATTATACATGTTTCTAAGTATATATAAATGAAATGAATTAAATGATTTATAATCCGCAAAATCTAAGAAATTCAACTCGACATTATTGACCGCCACCTCCACGGTATGCTTCAGCTTCACGTTTTTGGCCGCCACCTCCACGGTATGGTTCAGCTTCACGTTTTTGGCCGCCACCTCCACGGTATGCTTCAGCTTCACGTTTTTGGCCGCCACCTCCACGGTATGGGTCAGCTTCACGTTTTTGACCACCACCTCCACGGTATGGGTCAGCTTCACGTTTTTGACCGCCACCTCCACGGTATGGGTCAGCTTCTCGTTTCTGAAGGGCTACATTATCAAGTTGTAAGGGTGCGGATTGGACGGTGATGATGATAGCGAGAAAAAGGAGAATTGCAAAAATGGGCTTCATGGTTTTGTAATTATATGATGAGGGTAAATTAAAGAGTGTACAAGTGGACATACTTGGCTGATTAATATCGTTTAGTATAATATAAAGGTGAACTCTTCCGGAGAGTATGTCACACTATGAATTATTTGTTTGGTAGATTGGTGTCGAAAAATTAAAGGAATGAGTTGGAGAAAAAATTTTTTTTAGCGATTTTCAGAGAGTATTTATATAAGTATCCCATCTATTCCCATTCTCGACTAAGAAGGCTGTGATTACTTTATTATTAGTGTGACATTCATTCTTTGTGACATCAACAAAGACAAAAAGTTTGGAACAAATAATTTAGTTTCACAGGTTGTTTTCCAAATTTAGCAGACAGGCCTAACTAGTATAAATGATGAACATTGTACTTGAAAATGATTGGATATTATTTGCATATTTTGGCATATTAAGATGCGATTATTATAACAGATAACAATTTCTTGTTACTTATATTTCTGAACTAGTCTTTCATAAAAGGAAATATGATTAAAACTAACTTTCGATGTTTGTTTATCTCCCAAATTACATCCATAGTATTTTAATCTCCATTGTTGTAAACACTAAAGCGATTAAATATAAAAGAGAGAAATATAAAATAATTTACGGTTCTAAATATGAATCATTGGTGCGAATACAATTAAGGGGTAAAGTCCTAGGTATCTTTGTCTTTTGAGCATTCATTTTTTTTAAAAACAGAAAAACATAACATATCAGTAAACCATTTTTGTAAAATACCGAGTTAAAAAACAAACTCTTTTCTAATGAATCAATCGTATAATAAATAAATTTCCTGTTATAGAGGACAGTGTCATTACTTTTCGGATGATTAATCGTTTACAATAAATTTCCTGTTATAGAAGACAGTGTATTAACAATTTCTAATGATTTCGCGTCAATTTATTTATCGTTTTTTAATTGTACAAATGAAATAAGTTTTAATGATTAAATAAATTTCTATAAAAACAGAAATCTTATAAAAAATTAATGAAACAACATCGAAAATTCTATATAAATCAATATAAACAAAAAAAAAAAAAATGATACGTATAATTACTAACAAAGAATAAATTTAGAGCTATATGATTGGTTTCTGAATTAAATAAAGATTTAAATATAAGGAATACGTAAAAATAGGAGTTGGCTTGGCATATAATAAGCCTTATTTTCTGTTACACGTTTTACATTTTTTTGAATTTAAATTTTTAAAATTAAAAGTATATAACATAAAGTTACCTTAGAATACTATAAAAAATTAATACTAGTTTTGCGCGAAAAAATATATTTTTTTTATATTGTTCCACAAGATTGTATTTTTTTTTCACAATTGTGAAAAGGGAAAGCGTTTGCAAAACGAAAGGGGTTATAAATGTAAAAAAATCTTCCCCCGTTTCCCCCGTTTGAGAGAATATATAAAAACGACAACATATCATTGTATGGCGATCATTATTAAATTTGCACGTTTCGTATATAAAAGGCGCTTAATCTTATAGTATAGAACCTTACAAATAATAAAAAATATTTTATAACTCATTGTTCCAATGTTTTTTTTTTTTAATTTCTGTAATTGATGATTTTATTAACGAATTTTTAATTTAATTTCATCGAATCGTATTCCATATTTTCTCACTAATTTATCTACAAACTTCTCTAATTAGTGAATTGTTTGTCCTATTGTCAATTTGTCATATGTATAATTTTTCCTTTAGATTGACTTTGATTTATTATTATGAAAGAATGCCTGCCATACATGCGTTACATGCGACATTCGTGACATTTACAAGTCTCAAAATTGCATAATTCTGAATTAAAAGTTAGTATTCTTTTAATAAAAGAAATAATTGAAATAAAAAATAGTTACTGTATTCTTTAACAAATTCACCTTTTGCTTGCATTAATTTTTTCTTTAAAATTTGTAATTTTTATAATTACAGTATATGTTATATTGTTTAATAATAATGGTATGATGTAACATTTTGTCGCTCCCTATTATGTATGGTTTGTACGTTGTAACATAAAATAATTTTTAATAAAAAGGCATAACCTATGAAGTGGATCATCAAAACACTGGTAGGTATAACTCTTTTTGGTTAGATTTACTAGACGAATTTGGAAAAAAAATGATTGTAAAATTATATTAATCAAATTAATCAAAAAATTAATCAATTTAATTCGATTTTAATCTTAGTACTAGTATTCGATTTGGTAAGAGTAGCGGCCAACTTGTCTTATTTATACAATTATAAAATTATTTTCTATTCTTTGAACATATTTTGCGTATCATATTAGAAGATCTATTCAGATTTCTTACGATGAAAAATCTTTAGAGTTGATTTTTATTCGTATAACATAACGCAAATTATGTAATCTTTTCATAATTACTAAAATATTTTATTTTTTTTAAAAATAAAAAAAAAAAAAAATGCCCGCAAAACTTGTAATTCACAATTCTACCAAGCGTATAGCTAACAAGACTGTCCGTATTACTTCATAAACTTGAAATATTGATTTTATATCTAACATATCTGCAAGAATTCAAAACGACCCTATCACCTTTGGTGGTATCTCGCTCAACTTCCCCACCACCAGTCAACCTTTCTTCCGTGCGGTCACTCCCTTCCCAAAATCTCAACATGCATAACATGACATTCTACCAACTTTTAAAAGAGGTACGGATAAACAATATCTCAATCTCATCACAAATAAGAACAATAACATTCAGAGTTCACATTCCAAACCACACCTTAGTACTACCACCTACTGTACATCATTGGATTTATGGAAACTGCCCAACAAATCAACACACTTATCTATAACTTCCCTCCCACGTGGGATAATGTTAGTATATCTCACCTCGATGGGCCAGTGTTTATAGTTGACCCTAACATTATCCAATAGTACTAGAGATTGCAACCACCAACCTACACATAATATTAATATTATATTTATGCAGGAATATGGCCTCTAGAAAATAATAAAATTGTATGTGTATTTACTATAATAAATTTTTTTTTTTTTTTATCGAATTTTATTATCTTGAATTCCTTTCGCTAACAGTTTATGAGAACACATGAGGAATAAAAAATAAAAAAAAAAATACTAGCCCCTTGTACCACCAACCAAAACCCGGTGCCAGTTAATTAATTTTTGCTAAATATTGGTACAAACAATGTACATGATGCTCCTATAGGGCAAATAATAATTTAATAAATTACCGATAAAATTAAATGATTAACACAAAAAAGATTTTACATCATATAAATATTAACCTAAAATAGAATGTTATAGGATAATTACGGATGTTTGAATATCCGACAAAGTAAAATTTGAAAACTTTTAGAAGGAATATGAAAAATCAAAAGATGAAAGTAAGAAATAAACCACCTAAAAGAAAATAAACTATTTAGAGAAAGTTAAAAGTAAAGACGATAAAGGAGGAAGAATCACTGCTTGCAAAGCACAGTAATCTAAACAAAAGGATCAAAAGAATGGAACCAAAGCATGATCCATCAGATGATAAAGCTGTATCTTAGATTCTTGATGGACGGCGACGATCGTTTCATCCTTCCAATGATGAATTGATGAGTCAATGGATGTTGATAGCAAATTGAAGAAAATTTGCTTGCTGAAAAATTTCTTGTAAGGTATGACTCAGTATTCGAACATAAAGGTTGACCTTCCATTACATTTATACTTTTCAAGTCATATCTTTCCTTCCCTCTCTTTCTTTTCCTTCCCTTTCTTCTCCACCTCAACGTTGATGATCAAGTGCCAACAAGTTTTTTTAAAACTTGGCTAAGGAAAAAAATAAATCTTTTAATTGAATTTATTGGAAGAGACCTTTAGAGAGAATCAAGAATTTACCTCAGTTACAGTCACAACATTATTATTAAGAGTCTAGGAACAAGTAGAGCGATTACATCAAGTTCAAATATAAAACTACAGTAATGGTAGCAGGAAAAAATGTCAATAACAAATAGTGTGAATTACAGCTTTCAAGCTTCTCAGGAAAATAAACCATCTGAGGAAGAAACGCTGGAGGCAAACGAAACTTATGTCGCTAGAGAAATAGCACCTAGATATATGTATAGCGGGTCCAACGTTCGTAGGTGAAAATTTTCAGAAAAAAAATATTTAGAACTTCTAATTGTTACGTTAGCCTGATCGTATATACATCCAATCAGATTATCGTGTTGCAAACTATGGCCGGCATTATGCGGAATTATGCACTGTCACGTTTATATTACATATCAATCATGGGGACTGAGCCACAGATTTTGTGTAACTTTATCTTTGAAAATATGAAAATAAAGTAAGAACACATAAAATTAAAAAGAAAAAAACTTTCAAAAATTTTTAACATTTAACATGTATATTTCAGTTTATAATAATTTTATTTGTACTTTATTAAATTTTAATAAATAAACATAAGACTCATATATATATAGTGAATTTTATTATAAAAAATATTAATTAACTTTATTAATACTACAGTCAACTCTCGATATACCGAAGTCGCCATTCAAGACTAAAACTTTGGTATATAGTGATCTTCGGTATATCAAATTTTTTTATATACCGAAGTTTATATAATTTTTTTTAGAAAACTTCGTTATATTAAGATTAAAATCATGTGACTTTATTATATTATAAAAATCGTTACATATTTTATATTTAACAAATTTTACAAATTACTTGTTGCTAATCCAATTATCTAACGTTCATATCTTTTAAAGCAGCTACTAAATATTTAACTTCAAAGTAACGTTAATACTGAAAAATAAAAATGAGAGAATAAAATTGCGAAAGTTACGCAAATTAAACATCATTTGATCATA